TATATATATATATATACTTCAGCCTAGTATTCTATATGAGTTTCTCTTATTTTAAAAGCCCAGCTTACTTATAGGTAACTCGCTACTGGAGTAGCACAGGATGTGTCGCTTCCCTGGAGTAACGTTGCATCATGTTACCTGACTGATTCGTGCTTTTAATGCAACGGTGAGGAATTGTGATGCATGTGGCATCTCCAGCTCCGTACAGCTTTTGTGGCAATCCCAAGCTCTGTGCAATCCAGTGTCATCTGAAGGTATCGGACAACTCCACCACCGCCATGGTAGGTGGGCTCCAAAAGTGGTTCCAACCGTCCGGACCACCGGAACTGCTTTCAGCTTGTAAGCAGGGTTCACCCGATTACCTTGAATGGGTGACCAATGCACCACCAGCGCCCGGAATCTATTCGCTCTCGCCGATTCACTACTATGAAATGGCAGTAAACAGGACTTCTCCCCCAAAGACTGCATATTACCGGTCTCTTGAGGCATTTCGCTTGGCGACTTTAGTCGTTTCTCAAGACATCCACAGATGCTTATCGGAAACACCCGTTAAAAGTGCGGTCAATTCTTTAGGGGTCCTGATTCATCAATTTTTCTTAGATTACCACCTCAAACCAATTGTTTCACCCGATGGTTTTCAGTCCACAATGTACAAAACTTAAACATTTCGTGGCAAACTTAGATCTGTAGAGAATAAATTTGAAGAGAAATTCCAGTGTTGGGAGTAAATGTTGATGCTAGATCACTTGTGTGTGAGCACACTTTTGTGTGATTTCCCGGTATCATCCACAGAGTGACCTGATAGGAGGTTAAAGACTGTCGATGTAAGCTGCTCGAACAACTGCGAAGCCTCTGCCAACATTTCTCGTGGTTGTGATTTAACGCCATTTTATCGTTATTTACTAGGCCCAGCTTTGAATTGTGACTTTATTATGTATCCTGAGCTTTCATTTACCGTGAAACACTTCACTAATTTCAGGATGAAATGTTGGCACGATTTGTCGTTGGAAGTCATATGCGACATCATCCCAATATCAGCCAAGATGAGCATGCAACGTTGGTCGAACAACTGGCAGAGTCTGGAGCAGCTCGTTCTGGTTCCTCACCAGATCTTCAGCCATTGGAACAGGTGACTCGAGTCTTTTTGCGCATCCATTGTACAGTGGGCAGCTCTTCACGACATTTCTGCAGTGTCAAAATGCTTGCTGTTTCTCCACTTCAACATTGCATTGTTCCGAATGTTTGAGTCTCGTGCGTTAGAAGGTTGGCTATGCCCGATCATTCAGAGTGCTACCGAATCTCCCAACCAGTTGCGCATACCTCTATAGTTCTGTTTGTCCTTGAGTATAACGATACAGTGATTTCAGGCAGTGGGTTTCGGGTGTCACGGCGCTTAGGTATGTGTCAGCTGTCTGTTTTGCAACGCCTATCAGCTGGTTAGATCACCCGTGTTGCCCGTATTCTTGTGGGAAATAAATGCAGCACGGAAGCATTAAAACCAAAAAGTAACTTCACCTTCATCCATTTAGTTCCTTGGAATTTAGGAGTGTTTTTGAACAGCCGCAGCTCACGGTCAAGCAATTGGCTGTCCTTTATCAAACGGAGTACTTGCTTTCGGATATTCCAAAGACGCGGCCTCTAACTGTGGTGCGTCAGATCAGCAATGCTGAACCAAAATCAGACTGACGACTGATAAGCTGAGCGATAAGCCAATATTGCGTTTTTTTTGCCGTGTAGCGTATCTGCTCATTCCAGGTCCATCCCTCAATTTTTCGAGCAATAGCATAGTGCTTCAAATTCGTCTTCGTAGATTCACAAGACGCAGTCGTTCATGGCCTGTTAGTTGTCTATGGATTTACTCGCTTCTCTTTCATACTTCCATTTCTAAACTCGTGTAAACGGTTTGACTGCGTCGGTAACTATGCCCTTTTTATCGCCTGCACAGCAAGCATCCTCCAAGATGAATGCCTGATTGTCGCCCGCATGTGACAACTGAAATGCGGGATGTTGGTTGTGTTTTTTAGCACCACTTTGCTTGATTTTGCATCTTAGCAACGATTTACGAGTTCAGCGCCATCTCCTGGGTTTCGCAACCGCACCATTAGGTCAGTTCGGTTCATTAGCACCTTCCCCTAATAATACTTGGTTTTTAACCTTTTCGGAAAGTATCTTCAACGCTGCCTTCGTGGTGCTTGCTGTGCCTGTAGTGACGAATTCGGCCCCTGGACATTCGTAGAGAAGCTTAGGAGCTGATTTTGGCAAGTCAACAGAAGTAAGATTTCCTTCTTAAGCTTACGATGTGTTTATCCGTTGGATTGGCAGATTAAGTAACGCATAGCCACTTGAGTGTGAGGATCTTCAAGCCTGCATGGTAGCTAGGCACCGAAAAGGTGTAGCAGCTGAACGATTATCTTATATTATTTTGTACCTTCAGACCACCTGTGTTCATATAATCTCCGGTTTTTTGGAGGGGGACGATCGTCCTGTTTCACCTACTGTTGTCATGTAGAGTACCAGTCGTTCGCTCCAACCGCGACACGTTAACTGGATTCCGGCCGACTAGGAACAAGAAAATCCTTAGCTGAAAAGTGTTTCTGACCGTTCAGAAAGCCGCTCATTTTAAAGCCTCACCGGGTGTATTGCCCGTTGTTTTCGTTCGTCCTCTCCGTCATAGTACTCGTATTTGGCCTAGTCAGAGCTGTAAATTTCACTCAACAACATGCCAGCACGATTCTGATTAGTTCCACTCTGGTGGTCGTTCGCTTGTTCGCTGAGCTGGGCAATTTGATTGCAAACGTTTCATCATCAATGGAGGTGACATCATCAGTGCGTTGTTGGGGAGCGTAGTACTGTGTAGCGGTGGGTTAGAGGTTGTTCCACTCCCTTCCCTGCATCAAAAGCTCATCAGACTCCACAATTTGCAAACTTCTAAGTCTTGTGGCACAACTCCAATACTTCCAACGAAGATGCGCTTGAAATTGCAATTAGTGACTCCAAACTTTCTCACGGTTTGTTCGTCACGATCTGATCCGTAATGCAGTGAGGATTGCATTATCGCTGTATATAATCTGTCCTTGACAGATAATCTGACGTCATATCGGTACTATTGATGTAGAAGTTTCGCGAAAGCTGCCGTGACGATCTCGTCTGAACAACGCAACTCGAGTAAATAGCCACGTCGATTGGCTGGCCTGCAAGCATGAGGTTCGGGTTTGATCTCATTCAGAATCGTAGCAGCACTTCACACTTTCCAGATGTGAAGCGCATACTAAATCTTGAGGAGGAGTTGTTTAGGTTATTTCCAATGATTTGCATCGTTGAATGATGTGAATCAATGACAGATGCGTCCCGTGTATTCAGTTTCTGTGACCGAACGCCCCGGGAGCACTTCAGTAGGCAGGGAGTTTTGAAGCTGCACGTCAGTGATAACTTTGAGGATGAGTGGTGAGAGAGTTGAGAGTTCAGTACCGTATATGAATTCAGACGACAAAATTTCGCATACAGTGCCCTCATAAGAAATGAAGACTTAGAAGGGATACCTCTGATCATCAGGCAACACCACAGTTTCTGAGTACCAGCAGAGCTACAAGCAGCTTTCAGCTAAAAAAAACTACCTACGTTATCAAAATAGCGCCAGAGAGTACATTGGATGTCACGGCTACCGGGCCGATGCCATAGTAGTTGTCACCTGACGTTCTTTCGCCCTTTTTGAAGATTGGGTTGAGGGGGAAGCTCCCTATTTTACTGGCATTCTGTTTTTGTTTCATATCTTCCTTGATAGGGCTTTCAGACTGTTCATCAGGGCTTTGTCATCTTTGAAAAGTAAGCGGTGCAGACTATTTGGGCCGGATGCCTCGTTATCGACGTATCTGTGTTTCAGCTAGCTTTCCAGATAGGCTTGGTACCATTGATCTGCTTCAGCGTGCATCGAGCCCACATGATCGGTGTCAAGTTGTGTACCCTCAGAAAGAGCAATGATCTTTACTGATGCTCCGTCGATTGCTGACGGCCACATAATCCAGATGCGTCTGTGACTCCCTTTCAGGTGTAAATTCGGTGTCAATACTTATGCTGAAGTTCGTACTGACCAGAAGCGAATAATATTCATCATACAACGGAAAACTTCACCGTGACCCCGAAGCTACTGCACAATTGTGTTTCTTCCAGACTTTGTGTCCAGCTCGCGAGTTTATGTCGCCCGCCAGGACTAGCTTATCTGTTATCCCTGCTGGGGTGACAGATCTTGGTAAAACCCATCTGCCTCAGGTTCACAACTGTAGTTTGTCGGGACGTATGCCACCAAGATAAATGAACTAGACGACCGTCTAACTACTCTTTAGTCCGGTGAGGCGCTTTCAGCCCTGAAGCTGAGTGTAACCTCCACAAGTCGTTACGTTGGGATCACCAGGTACCCGGAAGTTGAAATGTAGACCAAATTTGTTCGAAGCTGTTTGAGTGCACGACTGGAATGGTATCTTGTATGCGTCAACAGAAAGGGATGGCAAGATTACATCGTGAACTGCCTGTTGTTCAATTTGACAAAAAGTGCGAACAATGAATCTCGTATACATCAGGTTTTTTCAGTTTAATAAGGGATTTTTGTGGTCGATTCACAACAATTGCTGGGAGACCGGTTGGTGGGTTGGCCGCATTGGAGTAGCGAAGAAGCTGGAAGGGATTGCAAGTGAGATCTGGTGAACAAAAAGCTGCAGGGGCAGGTGTTATTTCCCGGTCGCTCACACCGGAGAACAGGATCTGGTTGAGGTATTCCACCTTGAAATTTTAACCCAAAAGTCTAACTCACTAAGCAACCGGTACCTTAACCGTGATTTTGGACTGAACTCCGAACCTCGAAACAGCTGATAATAAGGTTCACGACCCCTTCCTCAGTAATCTGAACAGTTTGGCCGGGAGCTACGGACCCAGCCCGAGTGCACAGGGAGTAAGGCATAGTTGTCTCCTGGTGCCACTGCAAAGCATGTGAGTTTGGAGGCGCATCGGGCTCTTGGTAGGCCACAGTTGTGTTTCGTTCGTATTCGATAATTCACCGTTAGTCAATGTCAATCGCTGGGCGATCGGTTTTCCGGTTAACATTTTCTAACTCGTCTTTCCTCAAGGGTAAGCAACATCGCTACTCCCAAGAATATGGCCATGCGAACCAAACATTAATGTCCTCGCACTTATATCTCAGTTAATAGTGCAATTCTAACCACAGACCGCTTCTTAGTACGGTGGGGCTTGCTGCTCTTTGTCTGGTTGCTCTCTGGCTCCTCGGACACGAAACCGTGTGGGACGCGTTTCCAGTCAGTTGAGCCCGCTCTGCTTGTTTTTCTACCGTTACTATTACATTGGGTGTTCTTCAGAGCCTACTGATACTGTCCCGTCTCCCGGCCGCTTCTGTAGCCCTACTCGAACGTGGTAAAATCAGCTGAAATGCATACTCCCCGTTGTTGGACTAGAACTTTACACTTTCCAATAACGGCAATACTTTGAAGATTCTCTCTCTTCGATCTTTCCCTTCCTCAGTCTCTATTCAAATTACTGAATAATGGACACTCGCTTTGAGTTTGTTTTTATGCATTTTCGCTGTTTTTTTAGATTCTCTCCCAGTGTAATGCGAAATTAATCTGATAGAATGCGTAATCGGAAAAATAATCTCCTTTTATCTTCGGTTATTAGACATCCCGTTTCTTTTCATGACCGGTACACAGAATTGTGTTCTTGTTCTCTGGTCTCGTACAACTCGCCCGTGTCCCCAGTCACTGTTGTTCCCCATCTCGCTCTAGTTTAAGCCTTCGGGTGCAACAAAATATTCGATGGTGACCTGGTTTAATCATGAGGTTCATCTGGGACCTTACTGATCGCAGCTGCAGGAGTTCGTGAATCTCCAATTTGTATATCTATCGATACGCTCTAGAAGTGTATAAACGTGGTGGTTTCTGGATGACCACTTCAATCCCTGTGTACTAGGCCGGCGTTAGATTACTATATCCTTACCTATTTTGTCCCTCTCTAAACCTTTCTGATTGGAGCTTTTCTGTGTAATCCACAATTCACCGCATCACGGCGCAATTTTGCTTTGCAACCTAACGTCTTTTTGCTTTTTAGCGCCGGAACTCGCTGGGCCATGGCGTTTGCTCAGGCGTATTCGTTGCACTTTGCCATCGCCCTTCCTCTTGTACTCTCTCTCTCTCTCTCACTTTTTTCCTCATGATGTCTGATCGATCAGTTATTTTTACCACCCTTCAACAACATTATCGTTTTATGGACCATTTGTTTAGCGGTTGCGTGCGTCGTCAAGGCATCCACTTCATCTTCGTCCCACGCCTAATCGGCATATCTTCCAATCTGCGTGTGCCGTAAATCCGTTTTGCTTCGCACCACGATGCTGGTGCTAATGGTCTCACACTTGTGTTGGCTAATTACAGATTTGTTTGGTTACACGCTCGCGTACACACACATGACTACACTGATCTCTCTGTGCGCGTCACATGTCTGTATGCAGTCTCAGTTGGTCGCCAAACCTATAAATATGAGTTTTTGTTGCATGTGCTGATTGAGTGCACGCTCACAGTAGCAGCTATGTTCATCTGTCTTGCCACTGATCGATTCACATCTCACTGGTTACATTCATCCGTTTTAAGGGCAATTCGAATCTTTCTTTTGCCTGGTCCAGGACCTACTGAAAAAATACATTATCTATGCCAAGGATCGTATCCATCCGAAACTCAACCAAATGGACCAGGATAAGATCGCCGCTGCGTACGCTGACTTGCGACGTGAATCAATGGTAAGTCCCGTTCGAAGTTAGTGCATGTTGACGTAATGACTTCCTCATCCCTCTCACCTAAAGTCGCCCTATAGCGAATGTATCCTTCTGTTGACAATGTATCCTCATAGCTTTTCAGTCATTAGGTACGCATTAGCCGCCGTCCTTTCTCTACCTTCTAGAGCACTGGCAGCCTGCCGATCACTGTTCGTCACATCGAATCGGTTATCCGGATGTCTGAGGCTCATGCGCGTATACATTTACGAGAGTTTGTTAACGATGACGATGTGAACATGGCGTTACGAGTGATGCTGGAATCGTTTGTATCGACACAGAAGTTCAGTGTGATGAAATCTATGCGACAGGTAGGTTACGCTTCTTCTTTATGAATTACAAACTGCATCGTCCTCACGTTGGGTGCTGACAGCCGTCGTCTTCTCTCCTACAGACGTTCTCTCGTTTCCTGAGCTTCCGAAGGGACAATCAAGAATTGCTACTGTTTTTACTGAAGCAACTTGTGCACGACCGCATCGCATTCCAGCGAGTGCGGCACGCTGGAGACCAGGAGTGGCGAATCGAAATACCGGAACGTGACCTTGTCGACCGAGCCAAACAGATTAACATCAGTGCCGTGCGACCGTTTCTCCAGAGCGAACTGTTCCGGACTCACCACTTTGTCTACGATGCTAGCCGCAAGGTCATTCTCCACACTGTTTGATGGCGTAATATTTCAGGTAAGTAGCGAAACGCGTCTTATCATTCCATTCCTTGTTTTCATTGTATTTTTCAATTCTTCTGGATCAGGCTGGTTTGCATTTCGTTGCACTGACCGTTACCCTTCATTTTCTCCTGGCTTTTTATCTCTCAATCTCGTTCGCCTTGTTGCCCACATTTCCGTTGCATTGGAGGGTGTGTGTGGGGCAATGCTGGTGTGGTTCATCGTCGTGAACCCTTACTTCCCAGATTGCACTACTCATAGCCTTCTCTTCAACGGGCAGTCAGCAGCGTTGTCCGTGATGGATGAGGTCCATTCATTCGGCTTCATAAATTTCAATAGTATCCCGCGTTTTATTCTCTTAGATCACTCTTATTTCTGGCTTTTTCTTTCCCCTGCAACAGATGGTGGCCAACTTTGCGTTCTGAGAGGTTTTCGGACCCTTCTCATCCACCCTAGATGTTACTCGATCGTCGTACACAGATTATTTTATATACAACCTTTATGGTATTTCATGAGATTCTTACCTTGTGTCTCGTTGCCTATCATGTGGGATTTTCTCAGCTTACTGAATCACATCCCGTTCCATTGTGGTCGACCTGTAGCGGCGATGGTAATTTTTGCCTGTTAAGGCAATTATGAAAAACATGAGCAGTGATTACTGATGCGACATTCTCCCGCTACAGGAGTGTTCGTTTCTCTGACAGCTTTGGAATTCCCCAGAGTTCCCTGCAACGCTTGTCATATTTCTCTTCCTCACCATCTGGTATGATCTAATTATCCCACGCACCAGTAGCTTTTGGACCAAGTTAATCGATTCTTACATACTACTTAAATCTATTTGTGCTCGTTTAGTACATCGTACTATCGCCAGGTTCAGAGCTGAACATCAATATCCTTCGGTTTTGTTCATTTTTGGTGATACTTTTTAGCCTTAATTTATCTGAACAGGGGGAGGACATCTTGTTTCCCCGCGGTAACCTTCTAAGGGCCTAGTATGTTTGGGTGGGTTACCAGCAAAATCAGTGAGTTTTAACCTAGTGCTTGGGCACACACTTGCATGCATTCGTGCCTTGAACAAAAAACGACTAACTACCGTTGAGCTCACGCACCATGGTATCGGTTATCATGTAGCGCAAGTCTGTATGCGGTACCTCAGTCGTAAAGCGATTCAAGCAGTACCAGAAATGCATACCTCACTTTCGAGCATCGTAGCTACCCCAGCATCAACTACCATGCCAAGGTAGCAGGGAGAGCAGAAGAATCAGGTCTTAGTAGCCTTTAACAAACATTTCGACAGACTGTATAGGTGTACCGGTGCGGTCTGTAATTCTTACTGGCCCTGGGTTACTTGGCGAAGTTGATGCAGTCATCCGGCCTACGAGTGACTGCGTGTTGTTCGACCGTTGGTAGAAACAAGCAGGCCAATGGCTATGGTTGAAAGGTTGGCAGCGCTTCCGCAGTCAATGCCTCCTCATCTTACCCGCCTACGTTCACAGGAAAACACTCGATTGTCCGTACTTGTTCGTCTCCTAGGGGCTGTGATGCGTTTTGAACGTTGTGTGTGCCATGTGATACGTATAGCCCGATTATGCAGAGGCATAGTTGTTTTGGTCCTAAATATACCATCTTGGTGTTAGATTGTACTCATTCTCCGGATGATAATAATAATCGCTCAGTTGTAGCACCCGTTCGGTGCCTAACCGCCACGCCGCCAGAAGGAAGCATCATTGCTGGGATACTGCCAGGTTGCCCAAGCCTAGACGGGGTAGGTCGAGAGGCATAGGTCGGATTCGAACCACTATCCCTCTGGTCAGTAAATTCGCACTCTAACCACCGAGCCGTTTCGCTTACCGAATGAAACAAAGGGTCTCATTTTTGTGTGACTGACTTGCTCACACCGTCTTGCTATTCATTCACGGGTTGTCCCGGTATGACTCCGCCGCAATTTTAAAACCGGAGCATTTCGCTCGGTTTTCGGATCATCTACGTTGGTTCTTCATACTAGATGCAGAACGTGGCCAAAAACGAAATTATGTACCTTCAGCTGACCGACTGCAGCAGTCTTTCAGTTTTACGGCAAAAGACAGTGAGACAGAGATTAAACCTCAAGTGTGGCATCGAGCAGAAACAAGCGAATGGTATTGTTACTACTTGTGCTACGACGCCTGCTTAGAGGTGGAAAAGAGTTCTTAAGTTTTACCGCCCTGGAGAAAAATAAAGCAATGTTCGCTTCGGTAGCTGCGTTTGTCTGGACGAGTGGATGAATGAAAATGAGGGGGGAACAGGTACAGCACAGATTAATTCCTCGGTTTCTGAGATGTGGCCAGTCGTCGACATCGCGGTCACTTACTGTGCCCTTGGTCCGGTGGGTAAGCATGAAGGGTTTATGTAACTGTAAAAAATGGCTAATCGATTTTCGTGCCGGACTGGCAGGCAGAGAAGCACATAACGTGTGGATGGTCTTTATCGGCTTTCCGCGATTGAATTAGCAGGAAATCACACACATTCTTCAGCTGCTGTTTGGAAAAATAAAGGTTTCCCAGCTGAGGATGAATGTGACAACCGTCGTCAACATTCGGGACAAGGAACTTAAGCAGGTCCACTCTCTGAGAGGTGTTTGAAGTCGTGTTGGTCTGCAAACTCCCGAACTTCAGCATTTGCGTCGCTGATGTTGGCCAAATGAACTGACAGAAACTATACTGGTGGGCCGATTGAATCACATGCTGTTCAAAGTTTGCACTTAAAACGGGTGTATGTCGATATTATAGGCTTCTTGTTGAAGGTACTGTAATTTGGCCATAATTTATGTTGACGTTGCAAATCTAGGCAGACTGACTTCGGGTCTCTATTTGGAAATCAGTACATCCGGTTGTCTGCCTTAGTGCAAACCTCGAAACCTGGTCATTTTCTGTGAAACTCAGGTCCAAGCGACTGCCGAAGAGGGAATGTTTTGTAGCCTTAAAGCTTTTACAGGCAAGTGACCGATTGATTTTTTCTAAGTAGAAGGTTTGGGTTGTTTTGACTTCCAAATTTGTGTTAGCAGGATGAATAACATTCAGACAACTCAGGTTTTAGCATTATGGAAAATATTTTATTGAGAAGAGCATGTCTAGAGTCCCAGGTGGCCTAAAACAGATAGGGGTCATAAATTGTGCAGAGCACGTTCCTACTGGTCGCATCACAATACCTAAATTGTATGGTCTGCTCAAATTGCATTCGGTCACTGACCTAAAGCGCAACGTCAGGGTCCACACGCGAGTGGCGAGCGGGACGTTGGCTAGGTGGTTGTCATTTCGAGGCCAATCTGGTGATTCTGATTGGCAGTGCTACCACGAGGATATCCCGACTAGACAAGTCAGAGCAGACCCAGCATGAAAGTGTATGAGTCATCGGAACAGTGGAATACCGGTGTCGGCCGGGACGGTTTTTGTGGTAGGCCTGTTGGTGGATACGGGGATCGTGACGGTGCAAAACAGGTGGAGCCCAATAGGCACGTGTCATATCAGAGACTTATCGGTTGCCTGAAACCTAATGAAAGCAATGCTAATCTGTAGTCTGAGTGACACATTCGGTCCTAAAGCCGAAATAACTCCCTCTCGATGTGGTATCATCGTTCATTCAGAGAAGCGGTTGTGACTAACAGACTGCAACGGCTGAAGCATTGAAACTCCCATCTCAGACTTCAGCTGGGGACTATTACTCTGAACATACAACGTCCAACTCAGCTTTGACAATGAACTATGTCGGCATGCAGATGATGTCTCAATGGAATCCCATCCCGTTTCTATTCTTTCGGACTCCCCCATAAGCAAGCTCAAAACTGAGTAGGAAAAATTTCGCTGATCACAGTTCAACTACCAGCCAGGTGGGTGCGGGTTCGACTCTCCTTGAAAATCCGAGAGGTGAACAGTGCCGATAATTTCTAGTATAGGGGAAACGGCTGTACATTTCTACTCGTCTTTCTAGCCTATGCTAACTTCAATTACGGGACGAAATCTCGTTTGACAGATTCACATTGTTTTTGTCACTTAGACGATACAGTAGCGAACTGTCTTCCATCTGTTTCTACTGCGGTGTATGGAATGCAACTGTGAAGTTGCAGTACATTCGTTTGGACAGTTTTGTCCAACAAAAATAGTATGGAAACCTAATACGGTATTTAACTGATAGAACCAATAAATGTTTGCAAGGGGATCTAAAATTCTTACTAGAAGTGACTAATCTAACATAGCTAATCGATATTTCACAGAGGGACAACAGGTTGTCTTGATCTTCCGTTTTAAAAAAATTCAACTATGACATTAACTGTCAGAAAGTTGGAAAGTAATACGGATATCGCACATCGTTCGATTTTCAGTTCCACCCTTATCAAAAAGTTCCAAATGAAGGACAAACTGTCGAAGTCTGCAACCAGACGCTGTGTGTACTGACTCGTACCCGCGTGACACGGTAGTCGCCAGATAATGCATGAGGATAACGACACCTCCGTGGATTGTGGAACGAAGAGACATTCGAAGGCAATCAAGTTACAACTGAGCAAGATTTGTTGTCTTACATTAAAAGGAAACATCTTTTCAGAGCTTAAATAGACAAAAAATCACCAGGCCGGTCGAGTTATAAGGGAACAAATCGGTGAGATTCCTTACGATCTGATCAGTGTTGGATGTCAGTCCGAAATTCTTTCTCATGTAGCAGATAATTTCAGCCCTATCACGGAATGTTATCTATTGCGGACAACGGTTCTTATGGTTAGGGAAACTGAGGAAATCGGTCTATAATTTTTGTTTTATAAAGGCTAAGACAAATGTCCAAATATGCTGCGCGAATGGTTGATTTCATTAGCTTCGTGTTTTAACTAATGAACAAATTTCCGGTGAAACCCAGGGTTCTTTAAGTTTACGAAGAGTGTATGTTAAGTCCCGGGGAATGTCGCCTATAACAGACCTCCAGGGTGGGCGTATAACTGATCGGTAGGATCAACAAAATGCACTTTCAGTCTCTGTATCTTATTTCTCGATGCACATTTCGGACTAGAATCCTCATCTCCTGTAGCGGTGAAAGCGAGAATAACCTAGGATATAATTTCAATGCAAAGTTTCCTTGTTCGTTACGAATATTCAACTCACCAGAGAATTGCACGGAAGGTCGGTCAACCTAGTGACATACCTAGATTATAGTGTAGTTGTTGTGGGTGATACCCGAGTTGGAAGGATCACAGTAAGATTGCCGAAACTGGACTGCTTGGACGAGTTACTTAGGCCTAGTTTCATCCGTGATATCGGGTCAGGTGGAGTTCACTGACGCAAGCTGCTTATGTCAGGACAATGGTTTATTCTAGTTGAACCCAGATTACTTTGTTCTAAGTTTGCTCATAACATCTGCTACTATGAAATGCATTCTTTAGCTATGATGTTCTAGCACAATCTCCACGGTCGACCACCAGATGTGGTTTGTGCATCGCTCATCCGGATGAATTAATTATCGATTGATATGAGTTGTATTGATTACTCGGTTTACTTCACGTTCTTTTCACGCAGTGACAATCATACCTGTGGGATGACACGACTGATTGCTCTCAAATTTACCGATTACGTACATGTGATACATGAACAGACAACCACAGGTGTGTGACATAGCATATCACACTCCCCTTCGTTTTGAATGTGTGGCCCTAAAGTAACAGTAGCACTATGGCCTTTTCAGGCAGTCTTCTGGGTCCCCTCCAGTTGGTTCGCCACAGATACGGAGGGCTGTTCTTTGAAGCGTGTCTAGATTATTCAGTTTATTCATAGGCATCGACCAAGCACATAATCAATGAGGAAACTGGTCTTACTGTGCTTTCTAACCAGCCGAGTACTGGTGGTGACCCT